AAAATTGCAGAGCTTTGGCTGGGAAATGATGCAGCACCCACCATATTTGCCGGACCTTGCACCGTCTGATTCATTTGTTTCGCTCGCTGCAAAACAATGTTGACGGTCATCAATTCGACTCAATGGAGGCCATCCGAAATCACCTCGTTGATTTTTTCGCCTACAAGTCCCAAGGGTTTTACGAGAGCGGCATCAAGGCCTTACCGAAACGTTGGCAACAAGTTGTAGATCAAACCGGTCAACACATTGTGGACTAAATTAATTTTTATGAATGTCGATTTTGTGTTTAAATTTTATACTAAAAATCCGCAGAATTTTTCCACCAACCCAATATATGAACTACTCAAGACGCAGCAGGTGTCAGTTCATCTTTATTGTGACATAAGACACAAAAAAAAATCATTATAAAACTTATAACTTTATTCCTCGTAGTTGCGCTCGCAGTCGCGGTTATTATTCCGACCATCAACGCCACTGCGAATGCGGAAGCCAATGCTTTCGCTGAAAGTTGGAACAAAGCTTTCGCTGAAATTTGGGCCGATACGGATGCTAATGGTAGGTGTAAAGGTATAACCAAATATTTTATTTTCTATTTGACGATATTTTACATTATATAAAATGTTATAGAGTGCTCTGGTAATCTTATTATAGTAAACTCGGAATGACTCCTCATAAAATATGTATAAGTCAAAATTGCAGAACAGTTTTTACGTGTATACAAGCTGTTTTTACCAAAATATGTATAAATGTTATTTTACATTTTTAATAATTAAACTTTCAGTTTTCTAAAAAACAAAGCTTTGTATAAATACAGAGAGAATCGATGGATAACTTTTCTACTATTTCAAAAGAAGATTATAAACTTATTAACTTTTATGACTTCCTTCTTTGCAGTAATAGAGATAGAAGATACTAAATTATATAGGAAAAATTTAGAACTAATTATTCAAGAAGTACTAATACATATATCGTTTTTGTAAAACGTTTGTACAAATATTAGAAAAAAAAGAGAGATTATATTATTTTATAATACAATACATAGTATAATATGTAGTATACTATGTATAATATCATATTATATACCATGTATAACATTACAGAGATTATTTTCTATACATTCTTATTTTTAAAACTTCTGTTATATCACAATTGTGGTAACTGCCGAAAAGCAATAATAAAACAAGTAGCATGTAATATTTATATTTATAGTTTAACACAAAGCAAAAGTATTAGCCAAGTAAATAGCCAAGAAAACAGCCAAGGAAGCAGTCAAAGAAGTAGTCAAGGAAGCAGCCAAGGCAGTATTAAATTGGGCTAACAAGAAAATGGGAAAATCATAACATGAATATTTTGCTGAATATTCAAATAGTTAATATATAGTATATACAGGGTGTCCCAGAATTGGTTTAACATCTCTCGTAGGCAGGTAGAAGGAATAAAACTGAGGTGAAAAGTCCTATACCATTTTGCTAGATTCGCAATAGTTACTGAGATTTTAATTAACAAAGATCTGCGAATAAGC